AGGGTTCTGTTACTTTGCCAGACACAGACATATTTTTGATGTAGAAAAACCTTCAAAAACCTCTGAGAAGTTTCAGTGAGCAGCCTAGTATTATCTATTAGTGTGATTATCTGTGTCCAGGTGTGAGGATACACTTTCAATAGTGTGAAATCCATTCACATAAATGACTTCTGAAAATGAGAACTGCATTTGTAGGCACTTTTAACTTCAGTCATCAAGGTGTGCTTAAAGGGCTTTTTGAAATGTTGACTTTTAAAATATACTATCATAGTACATGATACATACCAAGATGAAAGAGAACTCTTAAATACTGTTGTGCAGCTAATTTATATTGTTTCATTTGCTATTATGTAAGGATTGAAAGAGTTGAAAGCAGAATTAGATAAGAAAATGCCAATACTGTTATTGACCCTAATAACAGTAGGGAACCTATAGTAAAATTAAGAGATCTAGACAATTTTTTTTTCCTAGCACTAAAATTTTATTTGAAAATCTCTCTACAAGTGGTGGAATGTGTTTGGAAGTTGCTGTATTTTAAATCAAGTTTTCCAGACACACTGTTAGTGCTGCTTGTTTTGAGTAAGAATGGAACCTTCCATGATGGCAAAGTCACTTGCTATATAGAATTGTAAGCCAACGTATCTTGTACTGAACTGCTTTATCCTAAATAATGTATCAGTCAATAAAAGAACAGGTTGTTCTATGGATTAGTGAATAGGTTTTTCACAGCTCTGTTTCTTGAGGCTGGATTCTGTGGTGTCTAATCTGTGGATGAGTTTCTGTATTCCTTTACATCTGTCACTCTGTCTCTTGATTTCTTCCATGTTTTTTCCCTCTTCCATTAAGAAGTAAGCTCTTCAGTTTTTATTAATGCATTCTCAGTCATGTATAACAGCATCTGCCTCTTGTCTGCTCAAGATCTCATTTTCTTTAAACTTGCAGGAAATATCTGGGATATTTCCTCCTGTGAAGTTAAGTTTTCTGTGCCAACTAGTCAGTGGCTCAGTCATTTCTGTGGATCAGGACACATAAATGGACAAGCTTAGAAAGTGGACCTGGGCAATATTTGTCAGTAATAGGGCTGGTGTTGTACTTCATAAAGCACAAACTGCACTGCTGATAGTGGAAACACCATGAGGGGGAAAATTGCTTGCACAGTGGGTTCTCAGGAGGCCTGTCCATATATTGGAACTATTTGCAGATATGGTAAGAAGAATTGCTAATAATGAGAAGCTATTTGAATATGGAATTAGTAGGTTGATATAACCCACAGTTACTTGCATCATATTTTTTTCTTTTTTCCTGGTGCATTCATAAGCATTGTTAACCATCACTGTTAGGAATCATGCATTGCTACTTTCTAAATTACTTGTAGCAGAACTGGTAATCAACAGCGCTGATAATCAACAAATGGGAGGGAAAAGATGCCTGCTTATTTAAGTATCTTTAAACATTGGGGTCTTGCTGGATCAGAGGTTCTAGAAACAGGATCTAAGCTGTTCAGATGCAGTGAGAGAATAGTGTAGGAAACCCTCTGTACTCACAGTTGCTGTAATCCAGGTGAGAGCAAAGTGTGATGTGATTTTCTGCTCTCTGCCCATGAAATGACAGCTTAAACTCAGGCCCAGATGTGGCTCCCATGCACAGAACATCAGAGTAGTGCTGCTTCAGTCAGGCATTACTTTCAGCTGGAAAGAGAGGGTGCTGCTGCAACAGCTCCATGCCTCAGTGTGCGTGTTTTTAATTTTCTGAGGCTCTGGGGTTAGCAGGTAACCAGTCCAGTGTAGCCCCTGGAAAATAATGAAGTCTGATTACCTGATTGGTTTTGTGCTGTGTGGTGCTTACAAGGTGCAAGGGTGGTCTCAGCTGAGAAGAAGAGAGCAGGGGAAAAGATCTTCAGAGAGCCAGACTTTGCACTCAGGTGGAAAATAACAAATACAGCTTGAGGCCAGTACCTGCTGCACTGCTTCCCTGCTTATCACCAGTCACTGATGGGGAGCTTTTATGCATTATGCTGGAGATTCACAGAGGCTGCAGTCTGTTCTCTTTGGTAGGTTTGTTCTGTGTTCAGATCATTAATATAATCCCTAATTAAGTGTTCATTCAGGTGAACACTGGCCTCAGGTGAGCTAAAAGACATGGAAGCCACCTGTAAAGTAGTGGCTCCTTTTTCTTGTTGCTTCTTTTCTTTTTCCTCAGCAAATAGTCATGCTCAGCTTGCTTATTTTGAACAAAATACCTGCCAGTAGTTTTGTGGCAAAAATGTCACAGTAGAGCTTGTCTGCAGTGTGGAGCAGAGAGCTGGGCTCTGTTACCTGTGTGTCTGCAAAAGGGAAATGTTTCCTCTGCCACATCTCAGAGATGGTGCACTTAAAACAGAGAAGCAGCTTTGGGTTTTCCCCTTAGAGCCAAACTGTAGACTGTTGCAATCTGTCTCTTCACTGCTTCAGCCATATCATCTTTAAATGGCAATTTAATGGTGCCTGGTGGTGTGTAGAGTTTACAAAGCTAAACTGTCCCCAGGTACACAACAGGGCCTTTGGTAAAGCAGCAGGTGTCTCAGATTAGATTAAATTGAGTCCAGAATGTTTTATGGGGTGATTTAATACACTGAATTGAAACAGTCACATTTTTTAAAGTAACTCTAAAAACTGAGGACTCAAGCAGCCATAAATAACGAAAGGGTTAACAGCAGGCACCAGCATCTGTTTTCAAGGGTTCTGCTGTTCCCAGTTTGTTCTGAGATGTTTATGGCTGTGGGAGAGGGACAATGCATACGTCCAAAATCATAAGGAGCAGATTTTGCTGTTGGATGATTTTGCAATCTAAAATAATCCATTCATTTGAATAGATGTGCACTGGTTTACCTGAAGGAATTAATCTACAATCTTCTGCCTTGTTAAAAAATATGCAGAACCTTCTTTGGCTTCTTTGTGCTTGGACAATTTATGGCTGGTAAAGTGTTGACATATTTAAGATGAAAATGGAATCAACAATGCACATTTATTGTTGATATAGTAGTGCTGTCACTGTTGTAAAGTTAAAAAGCAGCAATTATAGCTGAAATCTGAAAGCTGTTTTGTAATTTCACATGTGTGACACAACTCCTTACTAGAGATTGTAGCCATGGCAGCAGTGGTTGCTGCACTTTGTGAATAGCAGACATGTAGTTACTTTCTCTCACTAAAACTGTGGGATTTAATAGAGATTTTTTTTTTAAGTGCAAAGTTTTTAAAATTCTCTTAAAAAAAAAATCTGTGTTTCCTGTTTTGTGTGCTACTAAATAAACCAGGGATTAATAAAAAGATACTGGATATTGAGGCAGGAAAAGGCAATACTTATTTTAAATCCTGCCTGTGTTACATCATTTAGCTATGATGTGTCCCTAGTTCTCCCACCCTACTTTTTGTGCAATCAAATCCTGTCTGAATATCTGAATACAAACATGAATTGAAAACAGAACAAAACAATAATAAATGAACCTACCATTTGGGAAATCTCTATTCCTGCATTACATTTAAAGTCTGTAATATATTTTTAACAATCTGAGCTAATCACCTTCTCTCATTCTCCTACTCATCTATCTAGAGTTCCTCAAAACATCCCTTTCCTTCTGTGGATTGCTTGTTTGTGTGAGATAGGTAGGATTAAGTGACTCACAGGTTCAACTTGCATCTGCTTATCTGAATTCAGACAAGTCTCAACGTCTTAGCAAAGCACAATATTAGATATATTTACTTACAGAAATGGCAAATAGTACTTTGCTATTTTTAGCATATTGCAAATACTAGGCTGCTATTTTTATATTTTTTTTCTGTCTTAGCTATTGAGTAAAGCAGAACTGAACACCAAATGCTTATGAGGCTCAGACTGAATGCCATATATTCATGTAATTTACATTCTTATAAAGCCACAAAGAGCTGTGCATAAACATTGCTTAATACCAGCAGCCAGGAGATAAATTGAAAATTATACACACACACAAGAAGAAAAAGAAGGTTCTAAAATGTAGAAGAAGAAGACAACTGAACTGAGGAACAGAGGTGTAGTAAAAAGTCCTCAGGTTCCTGTGAAATCAGAGTTGTGTAGAAACATCAACCTGCAGTCATTCCTCAGACCATTTGGAGACATTTCGAAAGTCATCAGTAGAGCAGCCCAATGAATAGTAAGATAATTCTTAAATACTTTAATTACTTCTGTCTGAAAAGTTCATATAGCATTGTATCAGTAAGTTCTCAAATATGCAGAGTATTACACAGAAAGGTCATCTCATTTCATGGGAGTATTTGCCACATTGCAGTTTGATTTTGGCTGTTTTGGAATAAAATCCTGTTATTTTTCAATTCTCTATGAAAGAAAAAACCTGAGGTTTTCCAGTCAAAAAAGCTGCTGCAGTTTATGGTACTTGGATGCTTTTGTTCTTGACTTTGGGGGAAGTTTGCCTGATATTCTGGCCCAGATCTGTGGATATTTGGAAACTCCAATTGCCAGTTCCAACTCAAAACTTTGATGTTCTAATGAGACAAAATAAAAGCTGACAGGAGCCAGATCCAAATATTTGGGTAGATAGACTGGAGTTTTAATTTTTTTTTTTTTTTTCATGTTCTGTAAATTCCTGTTTTAACTGAATAGTAACCATGTCCAGAATCCTGTGGAAGCCTGATGCCAGTGTGGACAAACATTCAGTATGTGCTGTGTCCTTGAAGATGTAAACTAAGCAAGAAAATGTTGCAGATAATAACATGGAAAATAGGGAAAGTAAACTCAAGGTGTTTTAGTGATATTATTTTCAAAACTCAGGCATTTTCAGGGTGGTGTTTATATCATAGGAAAATCTGTTAAGGTGCTACAAGCACTTTGGCAGTGCAGCTTGGCACAGAACACTCTGGTGAGAACCTGGTGCATGGGCAAGCCTCTATCTCACCAGCAATTAAAAAAAAAAAAAAGATGTTTTTTGACACTTGTTGTTAATGGTCACTTGTGTTGCTTTGTTCCCTCAGCTTTCTCTGCTGGAAGATGCAGGGTTTGGTGGTGTTCTTGTTTACACTGATCCTTGTGACTTGCCAAAGACTGCAGACCTTGCTGATAAAGCTTTCATGGTCTCCTTGAACAGCGGGGGAGATCCATCCACGCCTGGTTATGCCAGTATTGGTAAGTACTGGTCATGGCTTAGTCACTTAATGTGCATTTTAATTCTCTGTAGATTGTAAGAATGGGAGTTAAAAAAGCACTTAACCAAATCTTGCTGGCAAGAGAGGCTCTGAGTAAGGAAACACTGTGTAATGCAGCATGGCTTAGAGGATGGAATCCAGTCTCAAAAGTGCTTTAAATTCTTGGCACAAAGTCTGCACTCTCAATAGTTTATAGTGTTTTGGATTTGAGTATTCACACACTGAACCATTATTACTACCTGTTTTTTCTTATCCCATGAACAAAAGCCAAGACTGTGAAGTACTGACCAAGCATCTGTTCCCACTGAAAGAATTATTCCCTTCATTCTGTCTTCCTCTTTCATAGTATCAGAAATGAAAACTTTTCGTCAGTAGGTGCAAGTGAAATGTCATTAGATATTTATATTTTTAAAGTATTAAGAAAAAAAGAATGTTTATACTATCTATATGCTACTATCACTTGAATAGGTTGTGTTCATTTAGCCTTGCCCAGATAGACTTGGTTATTAATTATGCTTCCCTAAATACATGTATTTTTGGAAAGATGGGAAATACAGAATTGATTTCAAGGAACAACATCCTCTTATATAATTTTACGTGGGGTGTTTTTGAAGCGATGTTAACAATAAATAGAAGCAGCAGCATATTTGACTTGTATGCGCTGCTTAAATCTCTATTCTTGCTGTTTTGTGAGTGTGTGTTCTGCTTCTGTGCAGCTTTTTCAGCTTTACAGCCCTTTTTACTATCTAACTATTTGGAAATGTATTAAGCAGCAGTCTATGAGTTTGCAACAAGGCTTCATCAAGAATATTTTGTCCGGTTACTGGCTCAGACATCTAAAGTTTGACTTGAATTGGCACTAAATCAACTGAGGCAACGTGGAGATACGTCATGCCTAGAATGGCAGAAAATAGAAATATTTGCCTGGTTGTCAAAGAAGGGTGTTAGCTATTCACAGCATGAATGCCTTGACAGCTCAGTGGGAAAGAAATTGCACATTTTCTCAGTGTCTCAGTGTACCTGACCCAGTGTTCTTAAAATGCCCTGGGAGCTACAGAGGTAAATATAACACTCTTCAAGCTTTATTCTTGCTCATTTCATGGAGCTATTTGAAAAACAGTTTGTGGTGTCTCTGTCTGGCTGACTCCTTAATGTTTTATTTACCCTACAAGAAAAGTAAAGCTAATTAAAACAGATACACCAACATGAAGATGCCACTTGAGTGTTTAAACCTTATGTGTTAGTTTTCTGTCAGTAAATGATCTCATCTGCAGTGTGCATTCCAATCTCCAGTTTGGGAAAGAGAAGCTTAATTATATGTACAATGATGTTACAAGTGCATTGATGGTTTCTGGTAGAAGCCTTAGTATGGCTTGTTTGTGGTTTGAAATCTCTGAGCAACATTCATAGGCAGGAACAGGTTATCATGCTCAAGATCATTTGATCATTGAGTGCCATGATGAGCTGGAAAGACTCAAAGGAATACTTGAGACAACCCTTTTTTTTTTTTTTTTTTTTATATAGTTTTGTCACTGGAAAGTAGATCAGATGGAAGTAATTCCTGTGCTTCTGATGATGATTTTGCTTCTCTGGGGACTGTGAATTGACTTGCTTAGAGGTAGCTCATGCCTGGGACAGACACAAATGCGTCTGGAGTGCAGGCATTTCCCTGGGGGATGCACTTGGATGTACAGTAGTTAAACTGCCTAGTGTGGGATAAAAGAGCCAGAGAACCCGGGCTGCCCCTTTCACTTTGATTCACAGAGTGTAATAAGCACTACACAAGATTTTATTGGAAGCTCCTGCTTAAGTTATTGGCATATCTTTGACACCATCTGCACCTCACACTTTGCCAGAAGAACTGTTACTATCACAATCTCGAGGCTGCTCCTACAAGCATTCTCCCTTTTACTGGGAAATTCCTGGTAGGATGAGTGATCCAAAGCTAGTCTTGTACTTGGTGAATAAAAAGTAGGAAACTTGGATTTTTGTGCTGCTGCCTTTGTTTCTCCTGTATTTTTGGTCTGAAAACAAATTTCTCAGTGGTATCACAGTACTGGAATGCTTCAGTATTTTCCTAGGGAAAAAAAAGTCTTCAGGAAATGGTATAATTTACAGATCTTTTCTCAAAGTTGACAACATTTTAAAATGGGATTTATGTAATAGTTCTGAGAGAATTTTGGAGATCTCATGAGGTTTCAGCTCACATTTTCTGTTTCATGAAGATTAAATGCTGCAGTTCTGCATATGAATCATCTCAAATGTATAGAAATAGCTTGAGGATGGGTTTGAGATGCCAACTACCTACGAGCAGAATGATTTTATTGATCTCTGTTTAACAAAGGGGAAAAAGTAATGGCAAGAAGGGGAAGTGAACAGCACTTATGCGAAAGTTTCTGCAGCTCTGTTTCATAATTTAATTCTTCTGTTCTTAAGACTCTTCCAATCCTAAGTTCTATCAGTCCTGAAACAATCATAGAATCCTTTGTGAGCATCATTTCTCTCTTTGTGATTCTGACTGCTAAAGACTAGTGTCCTTCATTTTTAGAAATCTTTCTTCTGTGTTCCTGCTTTTGAAATGAAATAGATCCAGGGGGTGGAACTCAAGGAAGCAATCATACAGAATTAAGAAGCTTGATGAGGAAATAGGAGACTTGTGTAGCAAAAGTTGTCTTGAAAATAAAGTTTAGAAGAACAGTGTAAAACTTGAGTGCTTTCCCCATATAGTTTCCTTTTTCCATTTTGACTTTTTGACTGCTGCACTTCCTTTCACCCACCTTCATATGACAGACACATATTAGATTTCTCCATTGCTAGACTTCAGAGCTGTTTCAAATCAAATTTGTTTCCACACAGGAAATGGCTCAGTAAACAAAAATATGGATAGAATCTATTTGTCAATCCTACTATGTAAATAGAAAAGTGGCATTGTGATAAGCACTAAAAACCCTGCCCAAAAGATAAGGTGCCTCATAATAGAATCCCTATCTGTGCAGAGGGGGAATAGAAATTATTTCTTGAAGAGTTCAGATGGCATCATAGAAAATACTGTGAGCTTTAAAATGCTGAAATATAACAGCTGTAAAATACAATCTTATGGTATCAGCTGGAGTTTGAAGTGTAATGCTGTTTTAGGGCATTGTTATGCAGAGGTTATAACAGTAAAAAAAGGGATGTGTTTGGAAGTCATGCGTGGTTCAGGTTATGGTTAACAGCTGGTCATGTGAGCCATATCACAGGAATTTGGGTGAAAAAACCAGTGACCCAGGAAATGCAGTGTCCCTGCAATTGTGAATAGTGCACGTTATTCAGACAGAAGAATTGACGTGAGCAGTTCTCAAACATTTCTAATAGGATTTGATTTCAGAGGCAGGGACAAGGAAGGCAAGGAATTGTTAAGGATTTGATCCATGCAGGCCACAGCTGAGGCCATCAGCAAAGTCAGTGATGCCTCTGAAAGTGTATTTAAGAAGGGACAAGGTTGCTGGACAGGCAGGGGAGTGAAACTGAGCCTGGAAAAGGGCAGGGTGACAGTGCTGTTCTAATCTCTTGGGGTTTGTTTCTCACTAACCAAATCTATTTTAACTGGCAGTCTCTGACACTGTTTTGCCCATGGTGGTAATTGGTAAGTGATCTCTCTGTCTTTACCCTGATCAGTGATCTTTTCCATCTTACTTTCCTCTTACCCTGTGGAATAGGGATAATAAGAGCCTGACTGGGTAGGGTCTGGAAGCTGGCCAAGGTTTACCCACCACACTCAGTTCAACAAAATTTAGACACCCAATATGCATCAAAAACCCCGTGACATTTGCCTCTTCAGAAATGTGCCAGTCTTTAATTAAGCTTGGCCAGTTCTTCTGCAGCAACCATGGGGAACTGCTGCCACTGCTTGCAGTGTGGGTAAATGGGTGCTTGCTGGCATGGAAGTGTGTGCCAGTTTATTTCTTAGTCAGTCCTGTGATTCTGTAGGTTTAGGTGTGCCCTGCCTAATACCCAATTTTGTCTTTTATGTCCTTCACTTCATGGTATTTTACTCCTCTGAAGCCAGCAGCTGAGCAGAAGTTAGCTGGAAAATAGAACACTGTGTAATGGTTTTAACCATGCATATGCAACATATGTTCTAAAATGGTTTGTTATAAATCATCATGACTTTTTACAAGATGTCCTCAGCCCTGGTTTGTCTGTTGGCAAAACACAGTCACAATAATATATTTTCTGTGCTTGCCTCTACGGCTGTGGAAATGACTCTAGAAATGATTTTTTCTTTTCTTTTTCAAAATTTTTGTTTTCTTTCTGCTAGTAACATTGGATAAATGAAATACAAATAGAATTTGTTGTAACATGACTGTCTACAGTCAGGCTTCTGTGCACTGTGCTTTGATTTTCCTTGAGGAACAGAGGAGAAAGAAAAGCTGAAGTTTGATATTACAATTTAGGTGTGTGAATATATGTTTACATATACTCTTGATCATTTGATTTTGGACTTACTACATAATTTCAGTGGTTGCCATAAAAAATGCAGAGTTTATCAAACCAACTACACTGCTCCATCTGATATACTGTGTTATTTCTGTATGAGCAAAAATCAGTGCTAATGCAATAGAGGGGTAAATCTTAGGAAAATACTGGCCTTTGAACAGTGAATGCAACAGGTAATAATTTCAGCAGATTTTCAATACTATCTGTAGTACTAATGGTTCAAGAGGTGTCTAAATCTATGATCTGCCTCTTGAGATTTTTCAGGATATGATAAAGCAAGTAAGCTTCTATGTAAGTATCAAATTACATGCTCTGAGATTTTTGGATTTCTGGGTTTTAGTTTTTAGTTTTTCCTCCTGTCTGGATTTCAGTTAGGTTTGCATGGATTTAAAACTGAGAGAATTAGTTGGACATTGAGATATTTTAGGCTCACAGATTTGAGTGTCTGGACCTCTGTATTGTATATCAGCTATCACTTTATCTTCTACTAAGCTGCCTTTT